GCAGATGCTCCATTGAGCTTATTTTGATTCTTGAACAGAGTATTTGAAAGAATTACACTAAAGGAAATTTTATGCATAGTGGATGAAAAAAGAGAGGGGACACTGAGCCAAGCGAATGTAGCAAAGACAGGTAAATTATGCACAAAAGTGAGTGTGATGGGTAAAAACTGTAACATTATACATGGTCTCAAGATGCAGAGCAGAGGACAGAGTCATGTCTAGAGTGCAAGTCTTATTTTTTTTTACTTGGAAACCTGGAAACTCTCTCAATTCCGTGGGACCTTGGATTATTCTTACTAATACTCTATTCATACTTTTTGCATGTCCTTGATCATCCTCTTACAATAAACATGCATTATACTTATATGAATACTGGGAAAGGAGAAACTACCTCAGTGATTTCTGTTACTTAATTTTTAAAACTTTTCCCTGTATATTTCCATGATTTATGTATCTGAAGGGCATTTAAAAATATTTTACAATGAGGAACACTCAGTGATCAAAGCTAAAATATAAAGTGGGAGAAAATACTTGCAAAGTACATATTTAGCAAAAAGTTGATATGACAGAATAAAAGTGGTGTTATATTTGTGAAAAAAAAGACATACCAAAAGAGTATGTTACAGTAAAAACATTTCTAAATTCACTTAATAAAAGAGGAAATATTCAACCAACACATAAATTTACAAAAAAAAGAGTATAGATCATATTACTGATACAAGTTAATACTAAGCAAATTCACTATTGCATACCAATCAGGAAGGAAAACATGAAAAAGAAAGGCAAAAAAAAAAAAAGACTGAAATTACAAACATGCTAATTTATTGGAATTGTCAAATCCTTTTCTTTGCCATGCAAAAATTTAGATCCTTGTGGAAAATTGGGTTGGTATTGCCTAAATAGGTATACCTTAATGAGTCATCAGTTCTACTCTTGGAAACCAAAATATTCTGAATGTTTCAACAGGTAACTGCCACTGCAGTTTTCATCATGAAAATAGACTGCATCTGCCCCAACCTTCTACTATCCAGATTCCCTAAGTCAGGGCCCTGGTTACCAAGATTCCCATGAGCCTATGCCCAGTCCTACAACAATGTCAGAGTAAAGCATAGAGAATGTGGCATAGTTGAGAATCAAGGATCTGAACATGGACACGATGGAAGAAAAGGCAAACGAGAGAGAGTAGAAGAAAAAGTAGAGGGGCTGGGGATGTAGCTCAAGCCATAGTGTGCTCGCCTGTCATGCCCGTCGCCTGGGTTCAATCCTCACCACCACGTACAAAGATGTTGTGTCCGCCAAAAACTAAAAAAATAAATATTAAAATATTCTCTCTCTCTCTCTCTCTCTCTCTCTCTCTCTCTCAAAAAACGTGGTGAAGGAGTAAAAGAATGGATCTGAGGAGGAAGAAGAAACTGCTAACTGTGTATTAGATGAGAAAAATGTTCATCCCAAGTGGGAGAAGACAGGAAATATTGTGGCAGCATAATACTTACCCAAGTGGCCTCATATTTAGAAATTACTAAAAACTAGAACTTAATGGTGTAATGGTGTAATCAAAGAAGTATGCCACACATCTGGCTTCTTGCTCCTACCAGAGATGTCACACTCTTTTTCTTTGAAGACTTCTAATTTTTTCCTCTCCAGGCACTGCTCATCCAATTTAATTCTTCTGTTGCTCAACATCTGGACTTGTTCCATTTGAGCTCCCTCAGAATTCTCCAGTAACACATAGCTAATCTTTTTTTTTTATTATTTCTTCAACCCATCCCACCAATCCTTATACTCTGGTAACTTCTCATACCTGGACTCTTAATGCTTCATCCCTGACATTTTGAGCTACACCTCTTTTTTTTTCTGACTCCTGAATCACCGTATGATTAGCTCCACCAAAAAGTTTTAAGCATAATTGGTATAAGATTTTGTTTCCTACACAATGAGCTATATATTTTACTCATTTTGTATAATTAAATATATAAATGGTCCCACTCCTGTATATTTATTTATTTTAAAGAATAATACATTAAAAAAACAAGTTGGAACAAAAAAGTTAAAGTTACCACTAGGATGACTGGAGGGTATAGTGAAAGCAAGAAGACATGAAGCTGTTGTTTGTAGCATCATTAATGTTCTATTTCTTAATAGAAATAGTAGTTACATAGTATTTTCCACTTGTAATAATTTATTTATCTTTAGAGTTTTGATGCTGGTCAAGTATTTGCATCATAAAATCAAATTAATTTCACAAAAGGTGGTGGGGAAGAGGCTATAAAAGGGCACTAGAAAATACTTTGGGTAAATGAATGAATTAATTGATTATTGAGCTGATTTTATGGATGTGTTTGTATGTCAAAAGCTAAAAGTATACACCTTAAATAGGTATAGTAATTAGGCAATAGTAATTAGCACTCAAATGTGGTAGAGTGCTTGCCTCACATACATAAGTCCCTGGGTTCAATTCCCAGGACCAAAGAAAAAAATGCAAATTTTTTGAAAATTTGTAAAACTGTAATTTTTTAAAAATTAGACATATTTTGAAAAATATGTCTAAGTTATGGTTTAAAAGATATTACACTATTAAATGATTAATTAAAAACAAACTTAAGAATTCATTAGCTAAATATCAGTCTCAATATTTTAGAAAGGCAATTTTTATAGGCAGAGAGTAGAGGAAAAAATACTAACAAAGAAGTAATATTTAAACATATTAACAGTGAATATAGCATAGAAATTATCAGTAATTTCAAATGTTGCATTGAGTATACAATTAAAATTAAAAGAATTCTGGTCTTCCTGTCTGTACCAGTGTGGCGCATGGTGCACCCAGAGCAACCGAGACTCCCCAGCTGTGCTCTCAGGATGATGGAGTGGGAGACAGCCGAACCTGCGGTTGCAGAGACCCCGGACATCAAGCTCTTCAGGAAGTGGAGCACTGATGATGTGCAGATCAATGACATTTTCCTGCAGGATTACGTTGCGGTGAAGGAGAAGTTTGCCAAGTACCTGCCCCACAGTGCAGAATGCTATGCTGCCAAGCGCTTCTGCAAAGCACAGTGCCCCATCATGGAGCGCCTCACTAACTCCATGATGATGCATGGCCACAACAATGGCAAGAAGTTCATGACTGTGCACATCATCAAGCATGCCTTTGAGATCATCCACCTACTCACTGGTGAGAACCCATTGCAAGTCCTGATGAATGCCATCATCAATAGTGGCCCCCAGAAGGATTCAACATGAATTGGGTGAGCTGGCACAGTGAGAAGGCAGGCTGTGGACGTGTCCCCACTGCTCTGTGTAAATCAGGCCACCTGGCTGCTGTGCACAGGGGCCCGCGAGGTGGACTTCCTGAACATCAAGATGATTGCTGAGTGCCTGGCAGATGAGCTCATTAATGCTTCCAAGGGCTCTTCTAACTTCTACGCCATCAAGAAGAAAGAGGAGCTGGAGCTGTGGCCAAGTCCAACTGCTGATTTTCAAGCTGCTGACCAATAAACTGTCTTCCCTTGGGGACAACTGTAAAAACAAAACAAAACAAAACAACAACAACAAAAACCAAACAAACAAACAAAAGAATTCTAGTAAATTTCACAAGTAGAATTTTTATGTTATTTATGTATTATATACTTTTAAAATGTATGCTGTGTATAATGATGCCTCATTTAATGATGTGCAAGCATTCGGGAAAATTCATCATAAGGTGATTCTGTTATTTCACTCTTGAGGCAGGGTACTTACATAATTCTAGATGGCATAGACCATTATATACCTAGGTTATTATTTAGCTATTAGAGTACACACAACATTTTGCAACATATGACTGTAGGATTTAAAATGAGTTACATATTTTACTCATTTTTTATATAATTAAATAAAAAAATAGTTAATATAGATATCATAATGAGGTGAATAATCAGCCCTGTGGAACTAATGACAGAATACTTAAAAAGACTCTGGCCATTTAGACAATGATAAAACATAGAAACTGAACTACCATAAATGAGAAAAAAATGACAATATTTCCAAAGAAAGTTGCATAAAAAAATGGAGTATCTGACTAACAAAAAATGTCATTGTATTATTTCCTGGAATGAAAGCATTCACTGGTTAAAAAATAATAATTTAATATAATAGAAAAATATAAAATATGCAAAGTTTTCACAAGAAAGAGATTAATACAGTATTTCTAGTGGTGGTTGACTATAAAACCAGCTACTTAGAAGAAAAATGAAGAAAAAATTATTGAAAATCAAAATTAGCTTAAGCATCTTAGTGAGATGCTTATTCAAAATATACTTTACATAGGACTGGAAATGTGCCTGAGTAGTATGGTACACCTTTCTTTAATCATCTCAAATAATAAAATAATAATGATATTAAAAGACAGAGTATGGTTGTTTGTTTTCAAAGTTAAATGATACCTTTATAACAAAACAGAAAAAATTAAATGCAATTTATTTTTATGATTTGATATCATTAAAGGGTAACAAATTAGGAAAAACTAATTGCCTCACATATGACAAAATGTATGTCTCACATATGATAAAGGAGAAAAAGGGTCTAGGGCAAGAGGATTTCAATTTTGAAAGTAGACTTAGCAACTCATCCAGGCCATAAGCAAATTAGAGGCCCATTGTGAAAATTAAAATAAAATAAAAAGATCAGGGGATGTTGTACAACATGCCTGATTTTAAAACTGGATGCCAAAAAAGTAAATAAAAAAATGTAAAAATGTTAAAAACAGAGACTCAAAAAAAAAAAAGAGCTAATCATGGTGGCATATTCCTACACTTCCAGAAGCTCGGGATACTCAGAAATATGAATTGTGAGTTCAATCCCAGTATCAGAAATGTATTCAGGCCCAAAGCAATTAATTGAAACCATGTATCAAAAGATAATATATAAAAAAAGATGTAGGATGTTGTTCAGTGATAAAGTTCCTCTGAATTCAATCCCAGTACTAATAAAAGGCAGGGAAGAGACTTCAACAGCCTCCTTTTAAAATAAAACATAGTATTCAGTAACTATAAAATAGCTCAATAGCTTTAGACATTTGATAATAGAAATTAAAATCATATCTGTGAGACAAAATTAAATAGTATCAATGAACACACGGAGCAAGTAAATTCTCAGGAACTAAAGAAAGAGTAAGATTGTTATTTATTTTAAGAAATGGCCATTGAAAATACATGTTTATTTCTCAGCAGCAGCATATGCTTATAAAAATTACTGCATATCTGAACCACAATAACATATAAAGAAATGACAGTATTGGTCCAAAGAGATAAAATTGAGGCCATAGAGAAAAGGTAATGTACATTGAGAAATACATAATGAGAATAGGGTTAGAAAGACAAAGGGAATAAAGTGATAAAAATGATTTTCAGAAAATATTTTCATCATAATATATCCAGTTTAACAAATATGAGTGTCATCACATAATTTTATGTAGATGTCACATATATGTGATATTTTGCATTCATGCATGTATAAAATATGCAGAGTTTGAGAAAATGAAAATATACAAAAGAACATAAAAACCTTTATCATAAACACCATTGTGTATATGGTAAAACTCATCATTTTACCAAGATGTAAAATTTCCCCTAAATCTACAATATTACCTTATTAACATGTTAGCATATTTTACTTTTAATGAGAGAAGTGACCAGAGGAAAAAATACTAAAATTCATCTGGAATGTTATATGTTATACATGAAATCAGCCTCCAATTTCTGAATTAAAACAGAACTAATTTTACAGTAATAAAAACTAAGGAATCTTAATACAAAACAAAATACATAGATGAAGGTATATATATATATATGTAAAATTTCATGTATACTTAATAGAAATTTAATGGTCAACATAAATCTAAACACCTCAAGAACAATACCACATGTGAATGGTTGACATGGCCAAATCTAAAGAAAGATCATCTTGAGGGCAGAATTCACCAGTATAGTTTGTGTATACAATCTTCATAGCACTGGGTTAAAATTCCAGCCCAATTATAGAAGGCATATCTTAAGGGAGGCCATTGTTGGGTATATAAATAAATAGTAGCTCCTGACTCTCTCTCCATCCATGAATATATTAAATGGAAATATTATGTTTCAAGTTTTTCTTAGGCAAAGTAAAAAAAAAAAGGAATCGAGAGATTTATATAAACTGTACAAATGGAAAAATGTCTGCTACTTGATTTTAAAAAGCTAGTGTAGACTTGGGCCTCAGTCCAGACTTAGGAAATGTGCTACATAATTGGAACAGAATTACCAGCCACCAGTGACACCCCGAAAAGAGGAAGATTGGGACCATATATATATAACACCCTACCTCTAAATAGTTTTCTGTGCTTTAAATCTTAATTTTGCTTGTGCTGAAGAAGGATCTTCACATTCATAGTACTAAGAATACAGGAAAAACAATTATAGTTATCTATGTTCATGTAGGGGCATCCATGGGCTTAAAACCCTGGGATCAGGACAGAGAAGTTAAATCACAAATAATTTGGCTTATGCATTAATGAGTGTTCAGCATACAAAGAACTCTAGTCTCCAGCTTGACCCTCTAAAAATTCCATGACAGCCAATTTTTCCCAGCAGGAAAATTTTTCTTCACTGATTGATGTAATCTCTTAACATCTTCCATTCAATGGAAGAAACTAGTTAACCTCACATATAAACAAAACACTCTTCAAAAGAAAGGTAGGAGGCTTAGGCAGAAGACCACAAAGAGAAAGCCATTCCAAATGCTCAAGTTCTGGGAATGAAGCTTTCTACTGATCATAAGCAAATCTTCCCTAGATCACAAACTATTGGTTTTCCATTGATTTGCAAGCATCTCATTGGGCTGCCAAAATCTCAAACAGTAGTTCAGAGAAGGAGTTAGAAAGCACATAAATAGGGGTAAGAAAGTTCAGAGAAGGGGTTAGAAATCACAGTTGTTAATTCCCAGAAAATGTTTCCACATATTCTCTCTATGGCTGCTTGACAGACTGAACTCTACAATATTCCATGACAGATTTGATGCACAAGTCAAAAAGTGAACACTTGTATAC